CAGCAGCAACAACAACAACAACAGCCGGCTCAGCCCCAGTACAACCAGCAGTATGGACAAATGTACCAACAGCAGAATTATGCTAACAATGCCAACCAGTATTATCAACAGCCAACACAATATAATCAGAACTTTTCCAGTCAAAACTATAATAACACACAGCAGGCTTATCCACATAATTACTATCCTAATCAAAGTATGCCTCAACAAAGCTACCCACAAAATAAGGTAAACAGTGATGGTTGGGAAGATAATTGGGACTGGGGCTGGGAAGATTCAAGTAAGCAAAAACCTGTGTCTAATCAGATTGCCCAACAATTGAATACTTCCCAAGCGCAGCAAGTATGTACCAATGCAAATGTCATAGAAGAAAGCTTTGTATCAACAAATACGTGGAATTGGGCAATGGAGGACAAAAAAGAACCTCAAGAACAATCCACTACTTCAACAAGAGAAATCAAAGAATTTGCTCAACAGCCTTCTGATAATAAAGAACCAAACCTCAACTTTCAAACAGAATCTAATATGCCTGGGAAGGTAAGCAGTCCTAGCCAGCCTGAACATACTTCATCCGAAGTAAAAACCTTGAGTGACAAAGATGTTGTAAAGGAACGGTTGCCTAATTTGGCCCTTGGTAAACGTTTTCACCTTGAAAATTTAACACCCCAGTGGTCCATAGAGTCCCAGATGTCACAGGAATCTAGTGATGGGCCTCATACGCATTCTGAAGGGACTTATAGAAGTGAAAATCAGTCCAGAAACTCGAACAAAAGTAGTCCCGGCCTTAACACTGACAATTCAAATTTTAATTACTCTCAATCTCGTATAGACGACATGTACCCACAGAGCACAGAGTGGTCAAATCATTCTAATGAAGATTCAACTAAAATAGACAGTCACAAAAGCAATAGCAGCAGAAGGCAAAGTCATGATGAATTATCAAGTTCTTTGCAAGATATGAGTATATCTAATACCGATAATGTAGGTTCCGACGCTCCAATCGTTGATAATGAACTTGAACAAAGTTTGCCACCTCCTCTTCAGCCACCACCATCTGTTTCACCTGCTGAGCTTGCACAATCACATCCAGATTCCCATCCTTCTCTTCTATCATCCATGCCACCACCACCGCCGGTTTCTGTTGCAACCAATCCACCTGCAGCAATGGCATCAGGAACATTGCCTCCACCAACTTCTTTCCCTCCACCATCTTCATCACAAAATCCATTCAAACATGCAGGACCTTTTTCACACAAAAATATTTCTAAAAATCATTCAAATATTCCTCCTCAGCCATTCCCACCACAAATGGCCAATACAAATTTAACATCTCCTTCAGTTGTGAGCAAGATCTCTCATAGCAACAGAATACCTGTTGGATTTGGAGCTAATTTAGAAACAACCCCAGATAATTCAGAAAGACCTGATCAACCCCAACCAGCAGTAGCAGGCTTTGTACCACTTCCAGTATCTCAGCAGATCCCTGACAATATGGAGGTTGCTCCTCAACATGATAGAAATGAGTATTTACAAACAGAACACTTGTCCAGTGTTGATTTTGGTGAAAATACAGATTTTAGCCAAAATATTCCACCGCCCGGATTGAGAAGGATGGTAGTTGGTCAACAAGAAACAGAATACAGTCAAAATTTAAATATTTCCGGAGATGAACCGCCTCCAGGTCTAGCGCGTATGGTTCCAGGCCAACAAACTGAATCTGACGGGTATAATCAATCTAACGACAATTACATGGATCGGCATGTTGATGGCCAAATCACTGACAATAGTGGCCGTCCTTTCAGGCAGGCCGATGGCCAGCAAACTCCTGATAACTATTCACAGCCGCCACCGAATAGAGGAACCGATAGAAGACCAATAGGATTGGATAGGATGGTTCCCGGAGAACCCAGTAATAATGAATATATGCAGTACCAGGCCGGCAACTATGGTGGCTCCAATGAACCTAGGGTTGTTACTGGAGTCGATCATGACTATCCTCTGCATGTGGAGGCGGGCCCTCCGGAGGTCAGAGAGCAGAACGTTGACGGCTCAGATTATACCGAACCTGTTGTGCGAAACCCACCCAGGAATGTTATAGGATTAAGGGAAGCAACCAATGACTCATCTGTAGACTTCGTGGCGGCGCCCGGCGATCAGCAGCGCGAGCGCGAGCTCACCATGGAGGGAGAAAACTTGCAAGACTTGAGTGTCATATCTGGAGCGGAAATGACATTTTCAAGGGAGCAGATGTTCGATGTAGTCACTGGCAACGTGACCGATTTGGCGAACGACGCCCCCGAGTCTGTCGAGTATCCCGCAAGCGGCTCGCG